AAAGTTGTTATGAAGGCAGTTATGCTGACTTCTGCCTTCAGAAATAGGATCTTCCTGACAAAAGCTTCTGGATGGGCTTGGAGAGGTCTCACTCCCTCTCAGACAATATTTGCTATTTTTAACTCAGCCTGGACATTGTTATACCATATTGATTCGTTTAATATTATCATTTTGAAGTTTACTGGTGCAGAGCCTACAAGATCTAAGATGCACCGTTCTTTTCATTTCTGTTCTACACTAGTTCAACTATGATTCCACAATGTTTTACCTCTAGATTAAGTATGTTTATAAAATCCCAGGACACTTAAAGTTTGAGAGAGTTATGAAGCTAACTCTACATGACTCCTACCACCATCCAACTTAAGTGACAATGTAAATCTCAGACAAAATTAAAGGTCCCTAAGACATTGTATAACTTCATTAATGATACAGAAAAGTCTGATAATACCAAGTGTGGAAGATGATATGGAACACTGCTAGTGGGAGTATATTTTGGTTCAAGTACTCTGGAAAATAATGGCATTATCTAGTATTTTTGAGGATGCATATACCTGTGAATGGCCTTATGTATGTCTCCTGGAACCCAGAATATATGCCTTGAAATAAGATTGGTGTTGTAGGCATATGCTTCTGTCCTTTAGACTACAATTCATTTTTTTCTTAATAAAGGAAGAAGTGGTGCTGTTACTTATTACATTAGAAAACTAAGAAATATATCTAGTTTTCAATTACTTAGGTAACAAAGTAAATACAGCCATTAATTTCTTAACAAAGTTATCACCTTAAGTTTCTATTAAAAAGACAAGCTATTTTTATGGCTTGGAAATAACTGACTGTATATAAATTTCAGTCATAACTAAAGTGTAACATGATTTTCTTGTACTTTAAAGACTCAGTGACATTTAGAACAATGAAACAGGAAGTTTGTTAGGCTTAAGATGACATCGTTGATTTATTTTTAAGCAGAGGAAGTTTAATATAAGGAATGATTAAACTATCATAGGAGAGCAATTATAAGATGTAAAGAGAACTCTAAAGGGTACCCTGGGGCTCAGGGAGAGTACCCAAGGAAAGAACCTTGAAGAAGCCCCCTCCCCAAGGATGAGCTTCAGACTTCACTGGAGAACGCGGGTTTGCAGCCTGTTGGGTGGTAGAGAAGTTCTCTGGGTTGCCTAGGCAACATCAGTGGGCAAGCCGAAAGTGGTCCTCCCAGGTACAAGTGAGTCTTGGCTGATGAACAAGTGCACAGAAGGAGCTGAGCAACCACTGTGGGCAGCAGACCCGGAGCAAGTGGTGCCCTTGTTGGGAGGGCTGCAGGGAGGTGGTCAGCAGAACAGGCTGGAGTTCTGAGGTCACCAGTGACTGCACATCCCCTGCAGGAGGCTGGGGCAGAGCAATGCTAGATGTCCTCCTACCCACACAGCTGACCAATGGGGCAGCACTGGAACCAGTTAGTGAAACCCCTTTTTCCTGCAATGTCCATTCAGTGCCTTCTACTGAGAAAGCTCGACATCATCCTCAATGTGAAGAAATGTTTAAAAAGTTATGGAAGAGCAGGTATTGAGGAGGGAATTTGGAGCTGGGAAATAATACATATCTCATTTAATTCACCGTGAATTCATTAATATTTAATAGCATTGTTAAAGATGTTTCAGTTATTCTAATGAAATGTAGAAGAATCAGGGAAGGAACAGACATCATAATATATTTGTCTTGCCTCCTATGGTATAAATGAATGCACATATTCTGGCTCTGAAATGGGTGTGTGTGTCATGTGTCACTGAGTCAGCTCCAACTGCTGGTGACCCCTATGAATGAGTGAGGTCCACAGTGTCCTGCCCTCAACAGCCCTGCTCAGCTCATGCCTATAGCTTCTTTTTTGGAGTCACTCCATCTCATAGTTGGTCTTTCTCTTTTCCTTCTGCCTTCTATTTCCAAATAGAAGTCTTCTATTTCCAAAAAGAACCCTGCCTTCTGATGATGTGCCCAAAGCAAGACAGTTTCTGTTTTGCCATTTTTGCCTCCAAAGATATTTCAGGCTTAATTTGCTCTAATACCTACTTATTCATCTTTCTGGTGGTCCAGGGTATCCACAGAGCTCTCTTCCAACACTGTATTTCGAATGAATCATTTCTTTTCCCTATCAACCTTCTTCAGTGTCCAGCTTTCACATCTGTGCATAGTAATTGGGAACACGAGGGTGTGGATGATCTTAGCCTTGGTCTTAATGACACGTCTTTGCTCTTGGTGACCTTTCCTAATTTTTCCATTGCTGCTCTCCCAAGTCTCAGCCTTCTCTTGATTTCTTGGCTACAGCCTCCATTTGAATTTATGACTGAACCAAGGTAGACACAATCCTTAATAACTTCAGTATCTTCATTATCTATGTTAAAGTTATGTATTTCTTCTGTGGTCATGATTTTTTGTCTTCTTGATGTTCAGATGCAGTCCTGCTTTGGCACTTTCTGGAACTTACAAGCTTCTGTTAAATTTCTCCACATTCCTTTACATTTACTTAACTCTTTTAAATGCTGTAATAAAAATGGGTACTTCCAAATGGGTACAATCTTCAGGGATGTAATTTGAAGATACGAAATCAAAAGTTTTAAAAATACTTTTAGAAATGTATCTTACTTGGTCACAAAACTCATGAACAAGAATGTTTATGCCACTGGAATCTATACTATAAACAATCTGGAAATTGTAAAACTGACCAAAATGACATATTGAAATCTTGAGGGAATGGTGGAATGTTACGTATCCATGAAACATCATGTCTTCAAATAACTTGAGGAAATGCTTATAATATATAATCAAGTGTAAAAAACAAGTAACAAAATGCAACCACATCTGACTATAGTTAACAATACTGCATTGTATATTTGAAAGTTGCTAAGAGAATGGATCTCAGAAGTTCTCATCACACACACACACACAGTAACTATAACCACAACAGCAATAACTAATCTTATCTGAATGCCGATTGTGTGCCAAGCACTGTGCCGGTCACTTACTAATCCATCTCATTTAATCCTCATAACACTCCCATGAGCCAGGGACCCCAATAATCCCACTATTACAGATAAAGAAATATAGGGATAGAGAAGCATATTGCACATAGCATGATCTCAAATTTATGTAAAACATTTATACAAAGACATATCATTAGAGACCAAAGCTAAGATCATCCACACTCTTGTTCCCAATTGCTCTGTATGGATACGAAAGTTGGACAGTGAGGAAGGCTGATAGGAAGAAAATGATTCATTTGAAATATGGTGGTGGAGGAGAGCTCTACAGATACTCAGGAGTACCAGGAAGATGAACCAGTGGGTCCTAGAGCAAACTGAGCCTGAAACATCGCTGGAGGCAAAACTGACAAAGCGGAAGCTGTCCCACTTCGGGCACATCATGAGAAGGCAGGGTTCTTTGGAAAAGACAATGATGCTGGGACAATAGAAGGCAGCAGGAAAAGAGGAAGACCAACTATGGGATGGACTGACTCCGTAAAAGAAGCCATAGGCACGAGGCCACAGCAGCTGAGCAGGGCTGTGAGGCCAGGACACTGTGGACCTCACTCATTCATAGGGGTTCCCAGGAGCTGGAGCTGACTCAGTGACATGTGACACACATGTCATGATCTGACATGATATTATCTGTGGTCCAGCGATGAAGTAAGCTGGAAGCTGACGTCCATTAAAAACTCTATCGTAGTTCAACTCGTTTTTTCACATGCAAAAACATACCCTTACAACCTGAGCATTTTATTCAAATTACAACTCACTATGTCCAACTGTTAATAAAATGAAAATAGTGCTGGCCTCATTTTTGCTCATGTTCTTTCTCTCCCTGTCACCACTCCCATCTGTGCATTTTCTTTCCCACATATTTTAAAGTGGAATCAGAGAAATTTTTCCATTCATATTTCTGAGAACTTGTTGAAAACTTGCAACTAAAACAACAAGCTAAGTTATGAACTAATTATGTCAAAGTTTCTTACAGTATTTTCCCTTAGGAATTGTCTAGCATTGTTTTAAACTAGTCATGCTATTCTTCAGGAAGGGAAAAAAAAAAGCATGAAATTTATTATCCCTATAAGATTTTTGAAAACAGATGATCTGTTTTGATAGTTCACCTTGAAGACATATTTTTCTACTAACTTTCCTGCATTCGGGGCTGTGAAATGGTTGAAGCAGTTACCCATGTGTTTGGGTTAGTTGTTAGGTTTGGAATTTTGTTTGTAATCAGATTAGGTTAAGAAAATGTTTACAGTGTTTCTCCACTTGTAAGGAAACAAGACAGAATCAAATTGCCATTCTAGCATTTCTCACAGTGTGAGGGTCACACCTACTGAAACAGCTTTTGAGGGGAAAAAAAAATCAAAAAAAATTATTTTAAATGTCACTACCTAAGCCTGGACTAGTCTCTGGAAGAGGACTGCAGATACATTAATATATGTGGAAACCTGGTTATCTGACAGACCTCTTTCTATGCTCTGCTACTGATGTATGTGCTCACCGTTCCAAACCACTCTCACTTTCTCACAAGCAGGAGACTAGCTGACAGGTCTGTGTTTTGCAAATGCTTCCACCTCAACCTGGCATGCTTTCTAAGTCCCATTCAGCTAGGTCTACTGTTATTCATCCTTTCAGACCCAGCTCCAGCTCTCCCTGACAAAGCACAGCTGAATTGTCCATATGTGTGCCCTGTTACCTCGATCTCATATCCTATATTCCTCTAGCCTTGCATTTATGTCACTGCACTTAGGTGTTTGCTTCTGTCTGGCTGCCCTAAAAGACTCAGCTGCCTGAGGAAGAGCATAAGGTTCAAGTCACTGTTTTATTCTTAGGACAAGTTTGCATGCTTGAGTGCTCAGCTGCCCTTAGGAAAGTGCTTTTTATACTCAGAACTTCAGTTTCCTCTTCTGTCCAATGGTCACACGAATATTTGCCACACACATGGACTGTACACATTAAATGAGATATTGTAAGTGGAAGTACCTGGACCCCTGGCCCTAAGTTAATGTTAACTTGAATCCGAATCGGTCTATGCATCACGGCAACACACATCCCGATACTAAATCAGCATTGAGCAAAATGCCTCGTACTAAGACCCTCAAGAAACGATTACCAAAGTAATAAATACAATGAACATCAACCAAAGTAGGGAGACCAGTGGTTCTTTGAGTTATAAGAACTTGAAGGACATGATAAAAACTATGGCCTTTTCCCCCATATGCACACATACTCAATTTTGCGAGGAATTTTAGGGGCTCGCCAAACTCCCTGAAGCTCAGTCATGGTCCCTTCAGTCTGTAGGAACCGGTAGGAGTCCCTACTGCAGACAATCCTGTATAAAGACTCGATTACCTCGGTCCAGAGGAATCGGCTTCCTTCTCTGACTGCTACAGTATCAATTCATCCCAACCTGTACAAGGCTCTGGCCATCACCCTCCAGACTGGTAGAACAGCTATGGAATAGCTCTCAACCTCGAAGTGTCCTCCCCTGGGATGTGGACAAAGGGAAACCAAAATGTAAAGATCCCGCTCTGCTGGACTCTTCTCTGGGAGTTAGCACTGTATCTGAAAAAGAACTAGATTGCCTCTTCCAAGGCTTTAAGTTTGCAAACATTTACCAAGTCAGGGTAGACTTTTGTCTGAATCGGAGTTAGCATTTTTGTCAGGGAACTTCTGTGCACACAGATTAAAAATGCTGATTCTTTCAACTCTTAACTAAGCTTAATATATATAATCTCCAACCAAAACCAAAACAACCCAAACAAAAACCACAACAGCTTAATGCATATATCTCTCCAACCAAGACACATAATTTTTATTTGCACGTTCAGGTATCATTTGTAAATATTTTAGCTCCCATACAAGTTGTCTGCATCTGAAGATAGGAGGGAACAATCTCTGAAGCGCAGCCGGTAAAGCCGGCAAAGGGGTTGCCAGAAATTTTCCTGGAGATGATATTTACCGGGAGGATTACTTCTCCACACATCATTTCTCTGGAGATCCCTTCTGTACACTTAAACAGAACTCTCTCAGACCTGGAAGCAGGTACTCTTCCATGTTTTATAAGTACCTGTAATATGGCCCTCATCAAATTGCACAGTAATTATCTGCTGATGTGTCTGTTTCACCTTCTACACTGTGAGAGCCCCGTGGGCAAAGATGATGTCTTATTCAGCATCCCCAGACCCCGGTGCAGCGCCTGCTCATAAAAACAACCACGGAGGAAGGATACGTGAAAGACATGCTCCTTGCCTTCAAGGAGTTCAGAGTGGGGTGATCAAAACACAGAAACACTTACAAGGCAATACAGTACCATCTAGATGGGTGGGGAAGGATGAGAAAAGGTCTCCCCTGGAGTGGGTCCCGTCTGAGTTGAGTTCTGGAGAATGAATGCGAGGCCGTGCCCAGAAGGAGGGTGATGGGTAAGGAGGGCAGCGTGCCTGTCTGGGCAGAAGCAGCAGTACTTCTGAAGGAGCGGCCGCGTGATGCGGGAGGTGAAGCCGCTCTGGAGAGGCATGTTGGGCGGAGGAGGAGTCATGCCAGGAGATGAGGCTGGAGAAGCCGGAGGGGCTCGAGGATGACTAGGTTTAGAAAACTATGATAAGGAGTTTAAAGAAAAAGGAAAAATGCTAAAGGAAAAAACAGAACCATTGTAGGGTTTTACACAGAGGAGTAGCACATTTTTGGAAAGATCGCCCTGAGGACAAACAATGGATGGGAGCGTGACAATATACTGCAGGTGGAGAGGCCCGTGAGGAGACTGTTTAAGAAGGCCAGGTGTGAGAGTACGTGGGGTCAGGAAAAGGCAGTGGATGCAGACAGGAGGACTGAGCCTGGAGCGGTATTGTAGGCACCAGGGAGGAAGACCAGCCAAGGGGACGGCGCTCGATACTGGAGGAAGAAGGCGAAAGGAGAGAAAATAACCGATTCCAGATTGCAGGCCTACCGAAAAGGGTGCTCTTCGCCAGGATGCAAAGCACGTTTAAAAGTTTCCTGCGGGGAAATGTTAAGTTTAAGGTGCCATCGGGGCACTTAAACAGAGGAATCCAACAAGCAGTTAGACACATGTGTTTGTAGTGGAGGATTTCTCAAGAACAGCCTTGGAAAACATCAGAATATTGACTTATCCATGAAGCCAACGGAGAGAATGAGTTCCACCACAGTGAGAGTTCGCCATGAGAAAGCGAGTCTGAAGCTGGTGGAGTGCAACACCAACATCAAGGGAAGGAAGAGAGAATGAAAAAGGGCCTGAGGAAGAGTGTCAGAGAGGTAGGCGGAGGACCAGCAGAGGATAATAATCGTCAAGGGAGCCATGAAAAAACAGTTCCATGCGGAAGGAATATTTCAACAACCTCAAATGTGGAAAAGAAGTTGGAGAAGTGCTTTCGCTGGATCTGACAATGAGGAGGTCTTTGTGTCTTGATGATAAGAGCAGTTTCAATGGACTTCCAGCGTCAAGAGCCAGTGTGAGAAGTGAATTAGAGCCGAGACACTGAAATCAGTGAGTAAGAAATATCCTTTCCCAAAGCATGACTGGGAAAGGAAAGAAAAATAGAGGAGTAATCAGAGGGAATTCCAAGACTTCAACTCTGAAACAGTATGCTCTCACTGACTCATCCATGATTTATTGAAGTTTAAGGCTTTTTTTAAATTTATTTAATGGGAAATACGCTTGATGGTAAATCCAGCTTAGTCACCTTGATAATATTTTGATCATTAATTTTAAAACTTTTAATCTCTGTTGATTAGTGCAGATAAGTTCAAAGATGTAGGAAGGCAGGTCCAGAATATAATCTATTTGTTTAGAATGGCCATTTGTTTCACATCAATGAATGTACTTCAGATACTTAAAATACACGTTGGTTTCTTCATTCAACTATGCAATTACCCAAGGCAGTAAGTCAGTCTGCTTCTCAATATACTCTCTCATTCTTCCCACACACATCTGCTGCTTTTAAGGATATTTTAAAGATTCCATCTGGACAAGACATACTGCATCTCACCTACCTCAAACCAATAACAACAACAAAAAAAACCCCACACCTCCTCCTCAAGGCGCCAGGGCACTTCCTCTCTTTAGTTTTAAAATAGAGTTTCTCTGTAATATTTTATTTAAGGGTGTTAGTCTAAAGGAAGATTTCGCTCCTTTGCAAACTAGATAGCAGCTCTCTACTAAAAAGAGGGCACATAATTAGGAATAAAGCTAGTGAAAGATGTACAAGACCACCACAAAGAAAACCACAAAACCTTACTGAGATAAGGTTAAAGAAGCCCTAAAGGAATGGAGAAATATGCTATGCTCCTGGAAGGTGCCATGTTGCAAAATGTGAACTCTCCCTACATTGATTATAGATTCAATGTTATTTCAATTAATAATCTAAATTATTTGGGTAAAATTTGGCAAGCTGATTCTAACGCTAAATGGAAATGCAGAAGGTCATGAGGAGTAAAAACAATTTTGAAGAATCAAGTTGAAGGACTTACACTACCAGATATCAAGATATATTGGGTTGTAGGAAAAGTCATGACATATTTTTTCGATGTTTTTTGTTGCAAAAATGTATCATGACTTTTCCGACAACCCAATAGTTTATAGTTATAGTAATTAAAAGCGTGTGGCAATTGGTGTACAGATCGATAAACAGGCCAATGGCGCACAGAGCCCAAACACAGACTCACACATCAATAGTCATCTGACTTATAGCAAAGCTGCCATTGCCATTCTTTGGGCTAAAGAATGGATGGATATTCACATTAGAAACGATAAGCTTTGACTCTTACCTCACACCATACACAAAATCACTATCAGATGGATCATAAATGTGAAAAGTAAAAATGACAAAACTTCTAGAATATAGCATAGGAGAGTATCTTCATGATCTTGGATTTTGTAAATATTTCTTAAAAGGGTAAAAGAAAGCAAGAAAGGATGCACACTAATGAAGCAGATTAATAAACTGAGTTCACTGAAAGTAAGAATTTCATTTGATCAAAAGACACTGTAAATACTGAAGATAAGCCATAAAGAGAGACCACTCAAGTTTTAAAAAGGGCAAAGGACTTTAACAGGCACTTTATAAAAGAGGTTACTCCAATGGCCAACAAACAAATAAAATATTTAACAAAATTAGTCACCAGAGAAACACAAATTAAAACCACAGTGAGGTATTACTGCATACTAGAACAGCAAAATAAAAACAATAAAATAAATCAGAAAAAACATTAACACTATAAAGCATCGGTGAGGATACAGAATAACTGGAACTCAAACATTGCTAGCAGGAATGTAAATTTGGAAAGCTACTCTGGAAAACTTTTGGGCAGTATCTACTAACCTAAACATGTTTATCCTATGGCCCAGCAATTCTACTCCTAGGCAGACATGCACATACTACAAGCATGTTCAAAGATGCATTAGTCTTTTTTTTTTTTTAATTGGGGAATTGGGGGAAGGGGAACAGACAAGTTGCTGTCCTTTTGTTCTTCAGTCTAGTTGTGGAGGACGTTGCTTCACTGGCCCAAGCTGGCACCATCATTGTGCTCTTCCCGGGCGAGGCAGATCAGTCGCTGGCTTCTGGACGGCTGCTCACAGTGGCTGCTGGCCGCTCACGCTGGCTGCTGGCTACACACGGTAGCCTATGGCAGCCCACTGCAGCAGGGGCTGCAGCCTATGTCGTCGCCAGGGACTCACGGCAGCCCAGCTTCAGGTTGAGCTGTTGTTCAGCACCTTAGCTGTAGAGGGCAGTGTCACTGGCCCTCATATGTGGAATCTGAACCGGGGCCCTCTGGCGTCCCAAGCCAGCTCTTACTTAACCAACGCGCCACTCGGCCAGCCCAAAGATGCATTATTCTTAACAGCTTAAAACTGTCAATAACCCTAAAGTGCATCAGCAGTAGGATGGAAAGTAAATTTAAAACACGTAATATGGAATTCTACACAGCAATGAAAAAGAACAAAGTACCGCTATATTCCACCATGTGGATGAACCTCACAAGCACGATACTGAACAAAAGAAGCTACAGAGAGCACAAGTTGC